TACTTCTTACTAATTACCTTCTTACATATCTACATATACTCAAACTACACGTTAATGAATATCGGTAGTAAAGTTCATGATTATTTCTTTAATGTTAAAATATATTATAAAAAAAAAATATATTACAGATGGGTTAGGAAAATAAAATTAATGTAATTTTCCTCATCATTTTTCCTTTGATCTTACTGCCTATTGTTTGTTAAGATTATGAACTGGAGTGATACTCAAAAGTATTAGGCAATGACGTCACATATCAGTGCAGTAACTTCACTCACTAGTTCATGTGCATCCGTGTCAATTTATCAATGAATTGAACGCGTAAAATTAGTTTTCTATTCATATTCTCAACAAAAAACAACAAAAAAATTGCGAAAACAAATTGCCGATAAAAAGAATAATGGCATTTTATTTTTTCAGCGGGCTCGCTTGATATTCCTGCTGATAAAGTCAGTATTAAAAACAAAAATGCCAATATTCTATAAATAGTTGCTCTATATCTACGTCATTTGGTCTTAAGGTGTTAGAGGGCGGGTCGTCTCATTGAAAATTATATCAAATCTTCTTATTTTCATATTCCGCAGATGTTCGATACATTCTATTTTGAGGATGCTCATTTTAACAAGCATAATATTTGTGCTTTCTTGGATTTGTACGTATTTCCGAATTGATTAATCTCAACACATACAAAATTCAATGAGGCTAAAAGTAAAATTAACATTTATAAAAATATAGTGATAGAGAACTTATTCTAAAACAGGGAATAAAGTATGTCCTGTAAAAAATAGTTATTTGAAACAGAGTTATGACAAAAAGAAAAATCACAAAAATACTGAACTCCGAGGAAAATTCAAAAAGGAAAGTCCCTAATCAAATGGCAAAATCAAAAGCTCAAACACATCAAACACGTCAAACGAATGGATAACTGTCATATTCCTGATTTGGCACAGGCATTTTCTTATGTATCAAATGGTGGATTCAACCTGGTTTTATAGCAGATTGTGATTTGTACTAACTTCGAAGTCCGGGGATCTTTTACTTTCAAACCGTGTTGTCTACATAGTTTTAGGGCCGCTGGTGCAGAAACAGCTTGTAAATTTCGTTTTTCGGATAAACTGTAGATAAGGCATCAAAGATGTAATCCAAGACTATGAAAGACGGTTTAGTTTTAGACTTTTTTTCCGACAGAATGTTGGTATCACTTAATTGAGGTCTCGAGACCTTTTTGAATAAATCGTTTTCTTTTTATAAATACATTACCCTCTCTTTGGCTCAACAAAACAACGGCGTTACCTTGTGGCATTAATTGCACTTTAATTATGAGTGTGTATTATTTATACTGTTTTCCGAACGCCTTCCTCTTCATATATTTAATGAATACGTTTTTTTTGGGGGAGGGGACGGACATGAGAAAAATAGCATTTGAAGAGAATGTCCGTTTAAGACAGTACATACAGTATGACGTTGTTGACAAGAAAAAACTTTATTAATTTTGTGCATCCGCTATCAATCAACAGAAAGAATAAAAAAGAGACTTGAAAGCAATCGCCAAATTAAGCAGTCATCTGTGCCTGACGTTTCTTTAGTTTCTTGATAATTTTTAAATTCATAACCGAAAACTTTAGGGAAAAGTATATCCTAAATCATGTTGATACCAAAGTTTTGACTACTGAGCTGATATTGCCGTCTGTGACTAACAGTCTTCTAGCCGCAGTATCGAGCCAATGATAAACAATTTAAAAGTTTTGATGAATTGGTGCGTTTGAAGTTCTTTTCTGAAACGCTGAAAACAAAAGTTTTAGAGTTAAGGATGTTTGTTTTGTTCGAAATACTAAAGATGTTCTACCCCTGGAATAGATTACCTAAACTGTATTTGGCAAAACCTTTCGAAACTTCTGGTCCCTAATCCTCGTACTTGATTTGATCTTTAACCAATTTTTTTTCGAGCGGCACTGATTAATCTTTTGTAGACATAATGTGCTACTTGCGGACAAAATTAAAAGGCTGGTGGTATTTTAACATTGCGATATAAGCGGTAGGTTTGGCTAGCCATAACACCAGGTTCAAACCGCTATTTTTTTCTTAAAATGTCCTGTACCAAGTCAGGAATATGGCAGTTGTTATCAAAAAGTATGTTTCTATGTATGTTGGCGTTTGTTTTTGTAGCAGTTCAGTGTTTCTGTTGTTCTGTTGTTTTCCTCTTATAGTTGATGTGTTTCCCTCGGTTTTAGTTTGTGACCCGAATTTGTTTAAGTTATATCGATTTATGACTTTTGGACAGCGGTATACTACTGTTGCCTTTGTTGAAGATATTTTTAATACCATAATACATTAGCAGCTAAATGACCAAAAGGTCAGATATATTTGAAAATAATTGATACATGTATAGAGAAATAGTCATACAAACTTAAATGGAGAACAAACATTTTTGCGAATATAATTGTTGTATTATTTTGTATACAATAAAAAAACTAAAAACAAAACATAAGCAAAGCCTAAGCAAAAGCATACACACAATTGTCACAGATTTTAAGTTTTTATCTAATTACTATTATTTTAATACAACAACTACTTTGAAATATTTCTTTATCATGTTTATTTTTAATCCAAGACAATACAGATCAAACGTTTTACTGTTTACATACAGTATAAGAACGAAACGTATTATTGATATTAAAAATACACCTTCTTTCAACTTCTGTGATTATATTTTATGTAACTTTCATTGATAGATAGATGTAAATATATGTTCTACGTGTATGAAAAAAAATAATAAATGTTTTTATTTCCCTTACAATTTTAATTAAAATGTCACACGGAATAATTAAGAGTGTAGCAATAGCGGATTATAATGTTGATAATCATGTATTCTCTGTTATTATTAGCTTTACATTTGGAATTATAGTTGCCTTTGAGAACTTGACCCTTTGCAATTGTCAAAGTTAATTCATATTTTTGAATACTTTCGTCATTAGTCCGAATCATATTCGTCCACGTGATCACTTGCAGGGCAAGATTGTAAGTAACAAAGTGATTACATGACGTTGATCATTGACTTGGAAAGACTTCACACATCTATGATAAACATAAAAAAACTGCATGTTTTGTTAAAGACTTAATATTTCCATATTATAGTTATGCAATATACCAAATGAAACAGTTGGTCCGGATATTAACTTGTGGTTGATAATATTAATGGTTTTGTCATAATAAAGTTGTTTGAAAGCTTAATATAATGTGCGATTGAGAATAACATACGATTTCTGTTCTTTTCACTTACTATTATATTTAAAAAAATTCTGAATAAAATTTAGAATAAATTAAAATTTAAAGTGCATTATGTAAATAAAGATTACCACTCTCTTATTGGAAACACAGTTATAGAGGAAGCAAAAGAAAGACGTTTTAACCTGTCCTTTTTGGTCTAATGAAATCTTGGAGTCTGTTCATTTTTAGAGGAACAGTTTATTGCATGAATACATCGGCAATATCATACAAATCCATTTCCAGTAAATATACGAACTTAGATAAAACAAAACAAAACCTAAGGAAATAAAATCCCTTTATGGAGCAGTTGACAGGGTAACCGTCAATTACTATGAAATCATCGGTCATGCGAATCCAAACTCGATGAAATTGACACGATAAGGAATGGGATACTTTTTAACTTTTTTTATTCGAGTGTCACTGATGAGTCTTTTTTAGACGAAACGCGCGTCTGTCGCAAATACAAATTCAATCCTGCTTTCTATAATGAGTTTATAATATACATCCAGTACCTTTACAGATAAAGCGGATTTTTTTTTATTATATGATTTAAGACTACGGAAACATACAGCTCGTGAGTTGAGAAACTGATGTGTCGTTTCAGTCAACCAAAAATATAAAACAAAACACCACACGACCATGGGATAACTGAAAACGTGTGTATTTGGTAGAGAGTACATCAAACATATATCTGAACACGAAGTTAGACAGGGTATTAGCTGTATGTTCATAAGGCTTTAAGATGAATTATTCTGTTGCTTATAAATTCAAATATTAGACCAAAAAGATTACATATTTAATACAAATGTGTGTTCAAAATTATCTACCAACGACAAATCCAGCTTTTCATTATATCGGCTTCGGTGTATGTATTTGGGATGATCTCGGGTGCTCCGGCAGAGTCAACAGATCCTGCTCCTCATGTGGCACCCGTCGTAGAGTGTAGAAAAAAATTTACGAAGTTTAGATATTGTTGAGCAATTCCAAAGGCAAAAAATAGGCAGTTTTGTGGTTTTCCTAAATTCTCCTCGTTCTTGTTTGACGTAAGTGTACAAGATTGCTTTAAATATGTTAAACACCAGGTTCTTTTGTAAGGACATCTGCATCCACCAGCAACCTCGACTGCGGAATATAATTTTTCGAACTAGGTTCTTTTGTAAGGACATCTGCATCCACCAGCAACCTCGACGGCGGAATATAATTTTTCGAACTAACAACACTTTTGGTGGTTCATTCCAGTACTATGGCGAGCAGGACCATATTTATATAGGGACAATAAACAAAATCAATCGGGAGGGTTTATTTTCATCCTTCAGGGTAACGATCATTTACACCCTGTTCTGATTAAAAATCTTGGATTCAATTGGTTAGACTAGGACAAGGCGGGTAAGGTTGTACCTTTGAAGTAATAAGATATTGTTTTCTACACAGACTTATGGTGGGAAATATTTCTAATATTAATAACATCCAAGCCCTTATTTATTCTACATTTTAAAATATAGTTACATATCTAGGAATCTAAGATATTGTTAAATAATTTGTTATATCAGCTGTGTAATTATGACATGATTAGTGCCACAATGCGGTTAAATGCAGGGAAAACAATGGCTATTGGCAATTCAAGGATATAAAATAACACAATACTGATATCCATAACCAGTGTGTCAATGTCAAACTCGTAATATATGTTTTTTTTTTTCTTATTTACAAGTGATAAATTATCCATCAATGTGATCAACTTTTAGCATGGTTTATCAGCAAATACTTAAAAAATACAGAATTTTGCCAATGCCATAACACATCTACTAGGTGTTGGTAACATGTAGACATGGATGCTCTGTCAGTATGGCATAATCAAGGACGCTATTTTAATACCAACTGATATGCCCCCCATGTCGTAGTGGCATAGCTGGAAATTGCCTCCTATCAAAACTGTCAGGTAATTCTTTCCTTGTTTCTTTCTTCAAATTCAATCTGCAATTGAATAGACAAACACTATAATAACTACTGTATAACTGGTTGAACATCAAGGAACCCGCGTTTGCTTTTAATTTTTTTGTTATGTGTGAGTGTGTTTAATTCTTAGGGAAAAGGGCATTGGATTTATGAAAACTTGAAACGAAACAAAATTTTAAAAAAAAATCAGTAAAGAACCATTAAAACACCATCTGATACAAAATTTAATAATACTTTATCCCTAGCAGACCAGAACTCATGTCTGCTTTTTTAGGACTGCTGCAGACCAGTATTGAGGACAAGTTTGATAGAGCAGACCTGTTCCCAGGACAGGTCAGCTAGACCAGACCAGACCTGTAGACAGGTCAGCTTGACCAGACTAGATATGTGGACAGGTCTGCTTGACCAGACCAGACCTGTGGACAGGTCTGCTTGACCAGACCAGACCTGTGGACATGTCTGCTTGACCAGACCAGACCTGTGGACAGGTCTGCTTGACCAGACCAGACCTGTTGACAGGTCTGCTTGATCAGACCAGACCAGACCTGTGGACAGGTCTGCTTGACCTGACTAGACCTGTGGACAAGTTTGCTATTTAACAGATTTTACTGTAGGCATAGTTGATATTTGTTTTCACATAAAAAAGACAAAGATCGTATGATTTTCAATAATCTGAAGTCGATACTCATATGACATTCATCAATCAAAGCAGTCCTATTTACAAGTTAACTTTGGATCATGTTAACTTTATCTTGGAGGAGCAGACCAGACCAAAGTTAACTTGGGATCATGTAAACTTTATCATGGACCAAATTAAAGTTAACTTTTATAAGAACAGGTCTAGTTTGACTTTTGATAGCAGACCTGGTCATAAGTTAACTTGTGTGTAGGACTGCTTGTGGCAAAGTTAACTGTGTCCAAGGTTGACTTCAATACTGGCCATGGACCTGTCCTGAAGTTAACTTTTCGAGCAATCATTAAACAGTCCTAGGACCAAGTCTGCTTTTTAAGTTAACGCAAATTCTGTCCTAGGACCGGTCACAGCAGTCATGAAACCTGTCCTAAGTTAACTTTAACCAGTCATAAAGTCTGCTCATTAAGTTAACTAGCTGTAAAGGTTAGGACCGCACCTATCTGTAGATACTCTTTCCGAATGGATTAAGACTGTGAGGTCGTTGATACAAATCAGAGTTAAAAAAAACTGAATGGGTCTATGAATACCCATGCTACATCAGTCTTGAAAGATCCCAATTTTGAAAAACACATGTCCTTACTCCATGATAAATGTGTTGTTGTCCCCGCAGATAAAGCCCAAAACAACATCGTTTTTGTGTGTAAATCACATAACCTGTTTGATAAATGAATTAGGTTTTGATAATTCACATGGAAAGTCAACAGATACCCCCACGACACTTATCAAGGAGGAAATCAGGAATATTATAGGTCTGTTCTATGTTCCTTCAGAATTTCAACCAAAGATGAAGAACTGGATCTTCTATCACTGTATTGGATGCCCAAACTAAAAACGTGTCCTTTCAAACAACGTTATATTGCTGGGTGTTCAAAGTGCTCAACGAAACCTCTTTCTACATTAAAAACATCAATTTTATCAGCAATTAAAGCCGGGCTTCAAAGTTATTGTGAAACTACCTATTCTAGAGGTGCTGTGAATAAGATGTGGATACTAAAAAATTCTTTAAGAGTACATGCAATATTAGTCTCTTTCATCTTGCAAATGTATTGAAACATTTGACTTTTCTACATTTTACACAAGTATTCCCCATTCAAAACTAAAAGACAAATTGAAAGGGTTAGTCCTGCTTTGTTCCATAAAAGAAATGACCAAAAGATACAAGTTTCTTGTCTTAGGGAGGGATGAATCATACTTTGTAAAAAACTCACTCAACGAATTCTCGGAAACAAACATTATCAAGATGCTTGATTTTTTGAATGACAACATATTTGTTACGTTTGGAGGACATTTTTTTCAACAAACAATCGCATTTTCATGGGCACCAACTGTGCTCTTCTTCTTGCCGAATTGTTCATTTATTCATATGAGGCTGACTATATATAGGAACTTCTTGGGAAGAAAGAAAAGAAGTTTGCAGTATCGTTTAACTTTACTACCGCTATGAATATGATGTTCTCTCACTAAATAACTCAAAATTTGGTGAATATGTTGAACGCATCTTTCCCATCGAACGTGAGATAAAGGATACAACATATAAAGTTATGTCTGCTTGATATCTTGACTTACATCTAAAAATTGACGATGAGGGCTGGTTGAAACAAAACTTCACGACAAAAGAGATGATTTCAGCTCCCCATTTGTGAACTGTAAATTTTTAAGTAGCAACATTCCATCAGGGCCTGCATACGGAGTATATATCTCCCAATTGATACGATATTCCGGGGCTTGAATTTTCTATCATGATTTCCTTGATAGAGGGTTGCTGTCATACAGAAGCTATTAAACCAAAAGTTTCTAGTGGTGAAGTTAAGGTCATCTTTTCGTAACTTTTACGGACTCCATCACGAGTTGGTTGACTGTTATGGAATATCCGTTTCACAGATGATAGTGGATATGTTTCAATTGTCGTAACTACAATCCTGTCCCCCTTTTCCTGAACTTGACGTACTAACATGAGCAACACGACAGGTTCTTTATGTGGAGCAGGATCCTTCTTCCGGAGCACCTTAGACAACCCCAAGTTTTTTGGTGGGGGTCGTGTTGCCCAGTCTTTAGTTTTCTATGTTGTGCTTTGTGTACTACCTGTTGGTTTTTTTTTCTTTTTTAGCCATGGCGTTGTTTTTTATTTTTATTTTTCACTTCTGACTTTGAAAGTCCCGTATGTATCTTTCGGTTCTCTTTTATAAGTCCCTTAAAATAGACAACAGCAAAGTTAAAATTAAAAACGATTTAATTACAAACAAACATTAAAGTGAACAGAAAACTAAGGCTTGAACAACACAAACCTTATAAAAACCCATATTAAAATCAGATGATCTTGAAGGATATGCAGTTTTTGTTCTACATGTTTCGCACGTCGTGTTGCGTAAGTAAGTGAAAATACTGTGATATAATTCGCAATCGGTAATGTTGAACTCGCGGAAAAATAGGACAGGATTCTAGTTACGACAAGTGAAATATGTATCCCATAATGGTCAACCAAATTGTAATTTCGTAAAAAAATCTTTCACCGTTTTAACACCACTAGAAACACTTACCCTCTATTTAGTAAATCTTTACAGTTTACACGTGTGTATTTAATAATTTTGGTTTGATAGAACAGTTTATGTTCATTGATGATAATTAAGTTGTTTATAGGTACCTGTTTAAGATCAGACAGGTAGCAAAAACTGCTCCAACGAGAGACATAATAGCAATAAAAGCTCCAACACTTCCGACTATTATTGGATCATTAGTATTGTAAACTGTAAAACAGAGTATGATCATTAATAAAAAATGCTTCTGAAATATCAATAATGTACATGGTGTGATTCAAGGATAATGTTTGTGTATGATTTTCACCTAATATCTTATACTCGGAATATGGATTAAAATAACTTACTTTTGTTTCATTAAATATGTGGTTCAAATAAAATTTGGTAACCCAATATCAACTTCGACCGCTGGTCAATGAATATCAGTTTTTCAAACTAAGAAAAAATGCGTATTCACCTCGCCAAAGGTAGCATTATATTTAGTATTTCAATTTGAATTTATCTTGCAAATCAGAACGATTTGAATGTGTTAAGCTTCTTTCGCCAATAGTATTAGACAATTGTGTGTCATTTATTTTGCGACATTGGTATCAAAATGTCTAAGACTGCACATATAGGTATCTAGTGAGTTAATACAAACATTAATCGTGTCGTTAGTAAGTGACATCATTTTGTGTGATGACCGTAACACTTATGTAGTGTCGATTTCAGTCATTCTTCCTCCTTCATCACACAGTTGAAGCAGTATTTGTGTTCGAAGAACACCCCTGCTATTGAAGTCCGTAAAGCATGAACATACACGAGCATAGCGTATCAGTTGAGATATGCCAACGCCACACGAGGGAACAGACGGTTTGAAACTGATGATAATGGAAATTTAACAATTAGAAAGTTGACATAATCACGTTTGTCCTAAATTTTAGTTTGAAATTGTCCATTTGTGTCAGTATCGATGAACAGATGAAGATGTAAACGATCACTGGTTTTGACGTCATAACCGTTTTCACACCACTTTATTCTTAGCCTTGTCTATGAAGTTCTATTTTCAGAATGATCGCTACTCTGCTTTTGGTGTTTCATTTTAGTCACCATTTCTTAAACTTATACATCAAATGCACTTCTTACTTTTTTAAAACGCTTATAATATCTAAGTTGTCGTAAAGTTATAGATAAGAGGCAATATTAGCCTACCGATGGTCAAATCTCACAAAATGGTCAGGGGGATACAAATCAAGGTAAAGATACACAAAGTACGAGAAAACCGCATGAAATTTATGCGTCTACATGATAACCGTATGATTTTTTTTGTCAGTAGGCACAACACACAACCTTCCTTATGAATGTGCTCAAGACCAAATGTTATAAAGCCAAACTAAACTAAAAAACACAAATCAAACATATAATAGATTGCGGGTGCAATGGTGTCATCAATTATTGAAGTTGCACATGTAAGCGAATCTCTTTTCGCGCGATAGTGAAAAGAGAAACGTCATATCGTTTTGAGAAACATCGATAATACAAATACTAAGGCGATAAATTAATAACTCGACAAATGGGATACTATTTTACAATACAGTTCAACTATTTTAAACAGTTGCGTGTTTTCTTATAATAATATATAAAAAATTGTGAATTAAAAAGATACGATATATAGTTCAATGAGGCAGAAACCCAAAGACCCACAGAAACCAAACAAATATCAAAAGGTAAACATATGGTCAATATCAATAGACAAGTTAGAATATGTAGAGTATATCAAGCTCTAAATCAACCAAGGCTTACGAAAAAATGCGACTATTTTGAAGATGGCTATCAAAGATCTTGGATAAACACACCTTTTAATAAAAAAAGGGGGGGAAACATAAATATAACGTAGACAACCATTGGGGAGTTTCCGAATGGTAGAGGCACTAGAACAGATAAACTTATTTTTAGCACCAATGAATTCTCAATCAGGTAAATAACTAAGATGCATCGAATGTTACAAATCAGTTAAAAAAATCCATTTGGGAATAATGCACACCAGTTCATACGTCAAACAAAACTAAATAACAGTGTACAAATGCAAGTTGCTGTATTCATGTTTAAATCACTTGACTTTCTAATAAAGAAATCATACCGCAATACACTCTAATATCGACGGCAGTATTTCAAAGGAAATGTAACACAGAATGATCAAAAGTGGTACAGGAAGAAATTATGTCCTGCTATGCAAAGGCCAGTATACTAAGAACCTTAGTCTTTTTTGAAGAATGGATAGATTTGAAGAGATTTCACTTAATTATGTACAAAAAAAAAACAAAAACAAAAACAAACCAAAAAAAAAACCCATCTATTTAGTGCGAGCGTAATAAAATCCTGTATAGGATTTTCCCAATTCATCAATGTCTGCATAATGCAAACAAACCGATAAAGACAGAGATATATAATTATATACCATATATATGAACAAAATGAGATGTTGTGTGAATGCGGAAGAGACAATTACCCACATAACACCACAAGGACAAGAGTGTAAACAACTTCAGGTAAACACGTGTTAAAAAAAAAGAAATAAAAAAGAAACATACCGTATAGTAAGCTATATAAGATACCGGGTTAATATGTAATACCTTTAAAAACAGACCACTCTTGGTTTTCGTGGGTTTAGTGTTTGTAAGTCTTTAGTAGTTTATGCAGTGTTTTGTAGAATGCTTTTTGTATTTTCGTCGTTTTTCGTTTTGCCATGATTTAGTCAGGCTCTCTTTGGGTGTTGTATCTCCTTCAGTATACTCCGTCTCTTCATTAATTACGTTGCAATGCACTGACGTTGAAAAATTACAATGTTTTTGGGGGGTTTGCTTCTTCATCATTTGGCTTTTAACTTTTAGATTTGCGATTCATTCCTCGATTTTTACTTTTTTGGGGAGACCAGTTTTCAGTGATCCGTTTATAAATATCATATGTTAATCATTTTATATTTTTTTCATATTTCGGACTGACAGAATCTATAGATTTACTAATATCGGGCATACGACTGCTGGAGAACTCTAAGTCCCTGAGGGTATCATCAAAATAATGCCTCATGCAAATTGTTGCCACAACTAAACCTATTCTATATGGTTAAGATAAAATTGATATAGTTACGAGTAGCTATTGTGTCAGTTGTGCTCTCTTTTGTTGATGCTACTGGTGTGCTCTTTTTCGTTGATACCACTATATTGATCTCTTTCGTTGATGCCACTGTTGTGTTCTCTTTCTTTGATTCAACGGTGGTGCTCTCTTTTGTTGATGCGACTGTCGTGCTTTCTCTCGTTGGTACCACTGTCGTGATCTCTTTTGTTGATGTCACTGTTATGCTCTCTTTTGTCGATACAAACGTTATGCTTTCTGCTGTTTGTACCGCTGTTGTACCTTCTGTTGTTAACTCTCCTGTTATGATTTCAGTTGTTAACATATATGTGGTGTTTTCTGCTGTTTGTTCCGCTGGTGTACCTTCTGTTGTTAACCCACTTGTTATGATTTCTGTTGTTAGTTTGTCTGTTGTGCTTTCTGTTTCTCCTCCAGTTGTTATCTTTGTGGATTGTGGCATTGTAGATCCCGTTGAGTCTAGAAATTTCATAATACAAATTACTTAATTAAAAGTAATCCTATCTTAAGAAAAGAGACTCTCTTACGAGATAGTTTAGTACATTATCTTATTTTTGGGTTACAACATTAAAAGTTTATCTCATCACAGTATTATTAGGTTGACAAAAATAATTCCGCTTAGACCTATGATAATGCCCTTGAAGTGAGATGTAAGCTTGTGCACCATCTTGAAAGTTTAGGTGAAGTACAACAATAAAATATCTTAGCATGGCAAGAACATGAAATTAAACGCAAAATTATGTTAACGCGTACAATAGATCATAGAAATGGTTACAAAAAACTTGCTTATTGTCCCCCTAAAGTGAATGCAGACTGTTACAAAAACGATCTACTATTAATAGATTGTTGATTGATTCCATTCAGTGGCAAATAATACAGAACAAATGAGCAATCAACATGATTGGCATGGTTCTGCAAAGAAGGTCGAACGGGATGGAGTGTGGGACATTTGAACTGCAACTGGAAAATGTATGTGTGGAGGAAAGGGTAAAATATAACAGGCTTACTTCTCATATGGTTGCTGCAAGGTTCACTACCATGCAGAGCGCGTAGTAATCACCCTACATTGTCCGTCAGATATGATGTCCCAACTCAGATCGGATGTGGCTGTGTAATAATGCATTTCCAAATTACGCAAGAATTTTACTAGAGGACAGGAGAAGTCAAGGGAAGACCATATTTATATATCACAGTGAAATTGCAATCAATCATCTCATCAAAGACCTTGTTAATTAAATTTTGAATTGCTGTCAAATCTCATTGATTTTTTTTTTTTGATAAAAACAAATAAAAAATACTAAATAGATGCACTTTTGCAGATTAAAAAGGGTGAGTATATAATTTTTTTCTATAATAATTTTTAAATAACTTCTGTAAAGTAAGTGGACAAATAAAATAGCAAAATCTACAAGAATTATACATAAATTACATTTGCAATTACTAGTATGTTATTTATTAAATTGACGCAATTCACGATAACAACCTAACCTGTTTCGTGTTTATGTGATTGATCAATCGGAAAATTTTTGAAAGTGTCCATATGTCTGTTAACCCAAAATTAAATTTATAACACGATAAACAATTTTTAAAACGATGAAAACTTTTTACGTTTCTTTTGAATTAAAGTTTTTACTAGCCATTACATAAATAATTATTACTGTATGCTTATTTATATATTTTATAAATCCACGATTGAAATTAATCCAAAACTCAATCAAACGTTTGAAACACCATTCATAAAGAAATATCAGCCCTATACCACAATGCTCTCAAATTTTCTTTTCGAGATATGATTTAGAATTCTTGCTCCAAATTGTCTATAAATTCTCATGATTACACATGTGCATATTTGTCTTGTACCTTCTTAATAAAATAGAATAATGTTCAATAAGGTGCAGATATTGAAAACAAAATCATTTTGTTATGAATTTTACATTGCTTCTTCATTGTTTATCTTTAATTGGATAATATTACCTGCACAATCGGTGAAGTTAATATCATATACAAAGGTTGCTGTGCCATGACATGTCGCAAATGCACCCAACAAGTGTGTATTGTTGAGTAAATACAGCTTGAGATTCTCCAAATCACAGTCACAGCAATCCAGTGGGTTGTTGGCTAAATTTCTGTTGAGGCAAACATTAAAATTAAATCTTATTTGATTCGTCGGAGCATGCAATTTGGATACAAATTTTAAGTAAACTACTTTTTTTAAATTATATAAAAGAATATGTTTCAGTATACTTACTGATCATTAATAATCTGTTAAGATTGATAAACTGGATGAACGCGAGTTGTAAATATTTCTTCTTTAGAGGCATTTTTTATCAGATTTCGATGATAAAAAATTTAGAGATCTTGTGGATATATTCGATCTTCTTCAGTTAGTGAAATTGAATAACATTTTTTTACTTCTTTTTACTTTAAGCAATTATTACAAAATTCTTAATTCATAACAAATAAAAGTTGTCTACAATCGTTTCCCCAAAAAAGTATGAATGTTTTTGAGAACTTACAAATTTGCTGAGTACAACTTTCAATCTGTAGTTTTTTATATAGTGTTTAATGAGATTCTGTCGTCACTTCTATTTACTTAATTCCATAAATGGAGTTGTGCGACGTTGTTTGGACTTTGCGAGTCAGACGTTAACACAGGGATGGGCAAACTCATAGGTCGAAAGCAAAATTACAATGTCATAGCAAAAAACTTTTTGTTGAAAAAGACTTTCTTTGAACGTAACAGATATATTGTCAATCAAGTAACCAAGCATCTTCACTTTGGCCATTCTTTTTTATGAAACAAAGCAGGACCAATTCATTTAACTTGTCTTTTAGTTTTGGATCTGGAATATATTTGTAATGGGAAGAGTATTTAAATATTTAAATATTATTGCAAGGGGAGTGATATTCAGATTATATCGGTTCTTATACATTATTGGCTTTCAAATATTCGGTTTTGAGCGTTTTGATGAAGGTAAACACAGAAAAACGATTCGTACGCATGCATTTTATTAAGTGTTGTTTTTATTGTTTACGGTATATGTAACAGATCATTGGATTTTCTAATATCCACATCTGATTCACACCGCACCTACAGCAAGTAATTTTACAATAACTTCTGTTAAAATGCATGTTAAAAATCTTGAAAAAGATGTTTTTTAGCAATTTGAAGTAATATAACTATACTGTATAAGACAAATATACAATCAAGTATCAAATATAATGCAACTGACAACTATGAAATTTTGTTTAGCAATTAGTCCAGACCAAATTAAAACCAGAAGCTTTGTAACAAATGGGTATTAACGTAAATGTGTAATATTGAACTGGAATCTTAGAATGTGACAAACGATGATTTATGTAAGGTTCGATATTCTTTATTAGTCAGAACAGACACGGATATATCGATTATTTTATAGAATATGATTGTAATTATGCAATCTGTATAATGTTCATTTGTTTTTACATGTAGTCGGTTGTATTCATGTGTCAGGTGACCTTTTATGAAAAAAAGGTAGGTCGAGCACAACAATTCGATTCTACAATAAATCTACTGCAATAAAAAGCAAATGGAAAAAAACCTGGACAGGTTCTATTTTTTCCTGACTCGGACTCTATGTGATTTAATCTAAAGCATGCAATACTGACGCCAATAATAGTCGTTTGGTATGCATTTGTTATCTTTACCCTGGCAATCATTCAGATTTAATCATCTATGAATTTGAACTATTAATTCTAAATTGTTTAATGTACTTTTATCTCTGTTAACAGATACCAATGATTTCTTTGTTAAACTGGTTCAGCATAATGGTATGAACAAAAATCGAAATGTCTTTGTTCTGTGATGCGAAACATTTATCTGAATTAGAATGGACTTGAGGACTAAAAAATCACTTAAGAGATATAATCCTTCGGGTAATATAATTAATGTTAGATGTGATGTTTATGGCAGCAGCAACACAACACACACACAAAAATCTGACGTGGTAATTTGCTTCTACATCAAATATTGCAACTAGTATACATACAGGGTGTTAAGAGCTGGTAGGTTTTGAAATGTTCCTTCCTGTATTGTAGTTATTTGATTACTGCTCAAATCTCTGAAACAAAACATGGTAATGTTAATTGTATTCTACACCAAAGAAATGGTTCATTCTAATGCAATCATTTTGTATAAATGGTTCTGATTGGATAACAACAAGCGTACAATTCTTTATCTACCTGTCTGTAGGTAAGAGAAAATGATATTTTGATTTTCTGTTCTGTATTGACATGTTATTTCTTCAATATTAGCCTGAGGAAAAAAAAAACATTTTACTTCAAAAGATATCCTTTGATCTAATTTTATTACATTTCGAGACATTCAAGAAGCCCTGAATTTATGACTTTTCAACAGCGGTATACTACTGTTGCCTTTATTTACATTGGACGCCAGAATCATACATGTGACGTCACCTTGTTCAGTTGCCAAAGACGATAACATTATTTTGCGGAATTTTGGTTTTATGAAATTATACACCGAATTAATGACTGAAACGGAATTACATTATACTGGAAATAACAGTATTATATTTGAAGCTTGGCCTACATAAAACTTTGTTTTACTGTCGCAAATATATGTTTAGTACCAGTTCCGCTACGCGTCGCTAAATAAACTCATTTGCGACAGTAAAATCCGCGTTTTACGTAGGCCAAGCTTCAAATAGAATGCAGTTCTGTCTTTATTATTATTGAAAGATAAAGATTTGTCAAAATTGATAAATATCATATAAGAATATTGGTGTGACCATTACACCAGTCAATAAACAGCATTACTGTTAGGCATTAGTAGAAACTAATATTAAAAAAAGTCACACTGATATATTGTTTTGTAAAATATATGTTCAATAACATATAAAAAACGGCAAAAAGTATAATAGTCGATTGGTATGCACTTGTTATCATAAATAAAGGCAACAATAGTTTACCGGTGTTCAAAAGTCATAAGTCAATTTATAGAAAACAAATCCGGGTTACAAACCAAAATCGAGGGAAACACATCAATTATAAGAGGAAAGCAAAGGAACCACAGGAACACCGAAATGCAACAAAAACAAACGCCAACAAACATAGAAACAAATTCTTTAATAAGAACTGCCATATTCCTGACTTGGTACAGGACATTTTAAGCTCTGAGAGTACTCGCAATTACTGACAGGTAGTTAAAAGCCGATAACAACTAATAAAAAAAAATCATGCATCTAAGACTAGTTAAGTTTTTTTTCTACCACTTGGTCGATGACACTTCTGATGGAGGTTTCCCTCCTATTGTATCATAAGCTAAGTACCCAGCAGTTCTGTGTTGACATGCACTATTGTTGATATGGTAATAACTATAAATTGACTGTTTACAAAACCTTTAATTTTTTTGAAAAACTAATAATTTTCTACATATAAGTAATATATTACCTTAGCTTTATTTGCATCCATTTCGGAAAATCTGGTCGTCAGTGTACTTCAACTTCGTACATTATTAGGCCCTTTTAAACATTTTTAATTCGAGTGTCAAACGCGTTTCATTTAGACAAAACGCGCGTCTGGCGTACAAAACCCGTGTCTGTGATATGTTTTTATGCTATGTCATGTTTTGTTTTTAGTATGGTATAGTGGTTTTGTCGACGATCTATGCATGCTATGAAAATATGAGCAACAGTAGTTAACAGATGATCAAACAAACTACATTGACAGATTGTTTTTCTATTCTAATTTGACGTGCATCTTTCGCTTTGTTGTTTACTATAAAGTCATCATAGATTACAATTAAGTGTGCTAGACGCGTTTTCTGTAAACAAAAGACTCATCGGTAAAGCTCGAAAATACTAACAAAATGATAAAGGTCAATATATTATTATTTAAAGGCAACAAACGTAAAATTTGCAACGGCACCACGGTATTTACTTCTCAATTAATAATTATAACCTAGGTATCTCCTATTCATTGTCTACCTTGCATTTCAACACTCGTCTTCTTATTAAAAACTAATGGAATGCAATCAAAAAGTAAAATAACAAAAATACTGAACTCTGAAGAAAATTCAAAACGGAAATTCCCTTATCAAATGGCAAAATCAAAAGCTCAAACACATCAAACAACTGTCATGAACCTGACTTGGTACAGGCATTTTCTTATGTAGAAAATGGTAATTTAAACCTTGTTTTACAGCTATCTAAATCTCTCAATTGTATGACAGTCGCATACAATTCCATTATATTGACAACAAGATATGAACTTAATAAACGGACATAATAGGCAAAAATGTCAAAAATAGGGGTAAATGAGCGCTCAAAATACCAAACCTTATTTAACAATTAAAAGAGCAATAGCATTTAACCATGATTTCATTCCGCTAGATAAGCATAACGACAATTAATGTATTTACAGTCATTTTCTAGAACAAAATATGTAAAAATAATTAAAACCTAATTTTAACGTTGCCAAGCTTATATAACCTAAAGTATATCCCCAAACCGGACATGGAATAGTAGCTCTGCATGAGGTAGATGACATATATTTTTGTAAGGTTCACTTTGCTCAGACTTAAGTTTTTTTTAACCTGATATAAATGATGAGTTAATTTATTAACACTTGGTCGATGACACTACTGATGGAGGATTCCTTCCTGGGGGTATATTAAGCATAGTGGTCATCACTTCTGTGCTGACATGCACTATTATTGCTATGGTCATAACTATAAGTTAACTGTTAACAAAACTGTTAGTTTTGCGACAAAGTACGGATTTTCTACCAAAGGAATAGATTGCCTCAGCTATATCTGGCATCCCTTTCGAAAGTTTTGGTCTTCATAATTCTTCAACATCGTTCTTTATTTTGGCCTTTTTAATAGCCATAAAACCAGGTTATACCCACCATTTTTGTCTTAAAATTTCCTGTACCAAGTCAGGAATATGGCAGTTGTTATCAAGTATTTCGTTTCTATGTATGTTGGCGTTTGGTTTTTTTGCACTTCAGTGTTTCTGTTGTTCCTCTGTTTTCCACTTATAGTTGATGTGTTTCCCTCGGTTTAAGTTTGAAACCCGGATTTGTTTTCTCTCAATCCATTTATGACTTTTGAACAGCGGTATACTACTGTTGCCTTTATTTGTTTTGAGTATCACAAATGTGTTTTTAGACGGAACGCGCATCTGACGTACACATTTTTAATCCCGGTGAATGTGATGTAATTATTTACTATGTCATGAATACAAATCGTGTACAAATCCCTGTCAATGCATGATTATAACTTCCGTTTTCCCATATTCTTTATCATTGTAACATTCGTCTTCTTAAAAACTCCATATAACGTCAACATTGATAGTAAACCGAGTCTGCAGATGATTAAATTTACGTATATATTTAACTTTTTTCATGATAAAATATAAAAACAATGTATACATACAGATAGCCAAGCGCTGGTAGGTCTTGAAACATTCCTTGTTGTATTATAGTTATTTGATTGTTGTACAAAAATCTGGAAAAAATAACGGTATTCTTTCATACATGAGCGGTGTCGGATAGAAATTGACATTAAGCAAGTGCACGTATAAATGTTCATGTATAACTTTGATCGTTTTTGGAACATCCAAATATGAAATACAAGATGAATTGTGATATGTTTTGTTTCTTATTTTACATCAATACAAAACAGTTACAGACTTTGCATAGATATTTGTTCAACCCGAAATTAGTTCACAAAGGTATTTATATTCAATTGCATAATGTCGATTTCTATCCAATGCATTCATAATTAACTCTAACATAGTTGTTCATTTGTTTTTGATAGATGAAGATTTTGATAAATATAGTTTATTGATATTGATATGACAATAACGCCAGTCAGTTAACAATTTGTAATATAGGCAACAACAGTTTACAGATGTTTAAACAGATGTTGAAAAGCAATAAACGTAAAATTGGCTACGACAACACATAATTTGGTAATACATTGCAAATGCTTTTTTTTCCTTATCAATAAATAATTATTACTCTGGAATTCCCTATGATGTGTCTAACTAGTGTTGCAACACTCTTTTACTTATTTAAAACTAATAGAATGCAATTAAAATTAGCGCTATTCATACCAAAACTCGTAATAAACAATTAACAGAGCAATAGCATTAAATAATGATTTGACTTCGCCAGATAAGCCTTATTGCAATTAATATATTTACATTCATTTTACAGAACAAAATATGTGAAAATAATTAACATCCAATTTAAATGTTGCCAAGCTGATATAACCAAAAGTATATCCCAAAACCGGACAATGATTAAGAGCTCTGCATGAGGTAGATAATCAAAATATTTTTCTATGGTTCATTTTGCTCAGACTTAATATATAAAAAGGAGAAGTAGTATGTTTGCCAATGAGACAACTCTTCACAAGAGACCAAATGACACAGATATTAATAACTATAGGTCATCGTACGGCCTTCAACAATGAGCAAATCCCATACCACATAGTCAGCTATAAAAGGCCTCGGATTGACAAATGTAAAACAATTCAAACGAAAAAACTAACGGCCTAATTTATGTACAAAATAATGAACGAAAAAACAAATATGTTACACAGCAACAAACGACAACCACTGAATTACAGGCTCCTGACTTGGGACAGGCACATACTGAATGTGGCGGGGTTAAACATGTTAGCGGGCGCCTAACCCTCCTTCTAACCTGGGACAGTGGTGTAACAGTACAACATAAGTATAAACCATAAAAATCAGTTGAAAAAGGCTTAAAAACATAAACAGCAGTAGTTGTCCTTTTCTGGATTTGGACATTTCAATCTCTAAAGGAAAACTCCATACGAAAATTTACGACACAAGAGACGAATTTTCATTCCCTATTGTTAATTTTCCTTTTTTAGATGGCGATGTTCCTTTTGGTTCCATCATACGGTGTTTATATATCCGAACTCGTTCGTTATGCCCGTGTGTGTAGTGATGTCATAGATTTTAACGAACGTAATCAATGCATCACTGGTAAATTATTAAGTCAGGGATTTCGTTACCATAAATTAGGTAAAACTTTTGCTAAGTTCTTTTATAGATTCAAAGATGTGATTAGCAAATTTGGCTGTACTTGTAGAAAACTGATTAAAAACGGTATTTCACATCCTAAATTTTACGGTAATATTGTACTTAAAGCGCGGAAATCACTATGTGATCCGTGTAAACTCATCGAACCTTTAAACAAACTTATAAGTAAAGGTTATCTTACCAATGTTGTAATTAGATCTTTGAATATAGTTTACATTGGCACTAATATCGATTTTGTCATCAGCAAAATAAAACATAACTAAATTTGTATTCTTTTCAAACGGGATGTATTAAGACACACCCACGTTCGTTTTGATCTATAAAGAGGTTAAACTCCTTACTATCCTACTGTCTGTCGATACATTTATTTTTGGCATTGCACTAGTCATGTCTTCTTTGACTGTCCATGACGTTAAAATACTAAATCCCTGGGATGTGTTTTAGTTGATTTTAGTCTCTGATGCATGATTTTTTATTATTAATTGTTTTGGCTTTTAACAAGCTGTCAGTAACTGCGAGTACTCTCAAATCGTACTTTCTTGTTTATTTGACCTGTTGATACTAATTGTATTGCTTTTTTGTCATTAATGTCATTCAGGGTTATATCTGGTCTATATAACAGCTTTGATAAGTGTTTGGTATTACTATAAATTTTCACTTCGTACGATGAACATCAAAATTATTTATTTTGTAAAAATATTTCCTTTCTCTATTGGAACTGTACACGTATACCTAACAACAAAACTATTTTCATTTACCTGTGTTTAAAGTTATTGCAAATGGCTGATATTTTTGTTCGAGCATATTGTTTTTCTTTAATTGTTTAACATTTCATACCGATATAACATGTTACTTTTATTATTCTTCCCTTAGTTTATTTATAATTTTTTATTTACATTGTATCATAGGTCAAATTTATTTGTTCAGTGTATGTTCAATGGTGTCAATATGTCCTTTGATTGAGTTAAGCTATTTCAGTTGATATTTTATAGTGTGTATTTCTATGTAATGATGTTACACTATTGTTTCAGAAAAAGGGTGAAGGTTTGGTACCATTAAAACGTTTAAACCCGCTGCATTTGTTTGCACCTGTCCTAAGTCAGGAATCTGATGTTCAGTAGTTGTCGTTTGTTGATGTGGTTCATAAGTGTTTCTCGTTTCTCGTTTTGTATATAGATTAGACCGTTGGTTTTCCCGTTTGATTGGTTTTACACTAGTAATTTTGGGGGCCCTTTATAGCTTACTGTTCGGTGTGAGCCAAGGCTCCGTGTTGAAGACCGTACTGTGACCTATAATGGTTTACTTTTATAAATTTTGATTTGGATGGAGAGTTGTCTCATTGGCACTCATACCACATCTTCTTATATCTATTAACCCATCAGATGGATACAAATAGAAATACATCCAACAGAAACACAAAATAGACTAGGCCGGGTACTTGTACATTCCAACATCAAAAAGACGCTAAGTACAGATCTGAGAGTACTCGCAATTACTGACAGCTAGATTAAAGCCAATAACAACTAATAAAAAAATCATGCATCTTAGACTTGTTAAGTATTTTTTGCTACCACTTGGTCGATGACACTTCCGATGGAGGTTTTCCTCCTATTGTATCATAAGCTTAGTACTCAGCAATTCTGTGTTAACATGCACTATTGTTGATATGGTCATACTTATAAATTGACTGTTTACAAAACCTTTAATTTTTTTTAAAAAACAAATGATTTTCTACATAAGTAATAGATTACCTTAGCTATATTTGCATCCCTTTCGGAAAATCTGGTCGTCAGTGTATTTCAACTTCGCATATTATTAGGCCCTTTTAAACATTTTTAATTCGAGTGTCAAATGTGTTTTATTTAGACAAAACGCGCGTCTGGCGTACAAAACCCGTGTCTGTGATGTGTTTATATGCCATGTCATGTTTTGTTTTTGATATGGTTTTGTGGTTTTGTCGACGATCTATGCATGCTATGGAAAATCACAAATTTAGTAGCATGTGTCTTATTTTTGTTCCTACGGTTTGAAATTCGAAATTTGGTTTGGCATTTTCGATTATTAATACATGTTACATAGCTTAACCAACTGGGAAAACAGTCGTTACGGTTGAGGACGGCAGAACTCCATGTATCGTTATCATTGATAATAGTAAACCAAGTCTGACACTACTTTTTTTAAGATTCAGTTTTCATTTTCCTCTTGATGAAATATTGTCAAAATGTATACATACAAAAGGTAAAGCGCTGGAAGGTCTTGAAATGATCCTAGTTCTATTGTAGTTATTTGATTGGTGTGCAAATACCTGAAACAAAATAATGGTGATGTTACATATATTTTACATTAAGTAAATTGTTTATTATCATTGATATGTGAATAATTATCTAGCTAAATATGAAGAACAGCAGTTTACCGATGTTCAAACAAGCTACATTGACTAATTGTATCGTAATGAATGGGATAACTTAATAGTATTCATGAAAGCAAAATGTTTCGCAAATGATTGTTTTATCATTACGAATGAATGATTATTACGTCCGAATTCATCAGTCATTGTCTATCTTGCATTGTAACACCCGTCTACTTATTTAAACATAGTAGAATGCACATGGATTTGTATCTACTGCTTTTTTTTAGTAGATATTGAAATAAGTCAAATGTATAGTTTTTTACTTGATTTAGTTGTACCCTTTGCCAAACACATGTTTTAAGTCCCTATAAGTCTATATATACTCAACACAGAGAGAGATCTTTGGTTGTTGCAACTGTAACAAGGCCGTTATCAAATCATAATGAAAGTGATACTTGAGATTCAAAATATGAAAAAAAGATTAATGATAAGCACATAGGATCACTAAAGATATATGTTTTTTTATTTAAAGAGAGGCAAATAAACCCAAAGTGACATGGTAAAAAAAAAAAATAGAAACAGACAAACAACAGTACACTAAACAACATAGAAAATCAAAAACTTGGCAACACGAACCCCACCAAAAACTGGGAATGGTCTCGGGTGTTCTGGAAGGGTCAGCAGATCATTCATAATCAGGGGCCCTTTATAGCTTGCTGTTCGGTGTAAGCCAAGGTTCCGTGTTGAAGGCCGTACTTTGACCTACATTTGTTTACTTTTTACACATAATGACTTGGATGGAGAGTTGTCTCATTAGCACTTACATCTTATTTGTTTTTACGAGCAGATTTTTTTCTTTCTGGAATACATTAAAGTTATTAGAGGAAATGGTTTGACATATATTTAAGTCCCAGCTTAGTTACATGTTGTTGTCTTTTACGACACCAATTAGAAACCGAATTTGAAATCGAAATAATCAAAACGTTAATTGTTGTTTTGTTTGTATTTCTAAATTATTAACCTTTACTATGTAGTACATTTTTGGTAACATCCTTTTAACGTGGCTCGGTACTTATACATCCCGCCATTGTGTTATTGGACAATGATTAATTTTGTATTCTTGTCTTTTATTTTTGTTTTATGTGCCTTGTCTATATGCCATTTTGTTTTTCTTTGTGGATATTTTTATTTATGTTTATAAGGATTAAGATTATAACGCTGTGTTGACTACCGTACTATTTTTGACATTGTGTCTATGTGTCTGTTTGTTTTGTTCACAAATTGTTGTCAATATAATGGAGTTTTATACTGTCATACAAGTGAGAGGTTTAGCTAGCTATAAAACCAGGTTTATTGTACCATTTTCTACATTAAGTAAATGCCTATGCGAAGTCAAGAATACTACAGTTGTATTCCTTTCGTTGTGTTTGAACTTTTGATTCTCCGATTTGATTATGAACTTTCCGTTTTGAGTTTCCCTTGGAGTTCGGTATTTTTGTTATTTAACTTTTAACTGTTTATGTATTTTTTCGATTTTGAATGATGCTTTTTATATACTCCTGTCCATTACCTAATCTTTTTACCACATCAACTATGATAATCAAACCCTTTACAATACACACGGACAATTAAAAAATATAATCACATACGGTTGTTTTTTACCAGTCAAACAGACTCATAAAAAGTCTGCATTATTTGCTTTAAGTAATCTCTATAAAAGCGAATCAAAGAATTCTCGAAAGTACTTGAAGTAATCTTAAATTAAATAATTTACTAATATAGAACATTTGCCGTCCTTTACGTTTGCATCTGCTGTCATATTTTCGGGAGAAATGTATACACCAACGTCAAAACAGTGATGGCAGAGTGCATTACACAGTAAAATGGTATACATCTTGAAATGCACAAATGTATAAAGAAACCAGGCATGGGGCGAATTACATTGTAATGTAATGCATTATATAACAATTACTTTGACCAAACCATGCATTATATTACAATTACAATTACATGCATTTATCAAAGTAATGCATTATATTACAATTACTTTTGCAAAGTAATGCCTTGAATTACACATTACATTTGAAAATTTTATTAAGTGAATAGAAAAATTAAACATTTTGAAAAACAACTAGAAGTCACAAAAGATTCTAGAATATGCAGTAATTGTTCCATGAATTGAATATAAGTATACATGTAAAAAGTCTATTTAATTCGACTTTTACAATTTTAATTATTTTAACTTAATGTTGACTTTACTTTTATAAATATACTTTTGTTGGTTTTTTTTAATTTTAAACGAAATATTTAATTACTGTGAGTTACTTCCCTAATTATAAAATAAACGTAGACCTTAACTAATGAACAAATGTCTAAATGGTGAAAATATTGATTGTAAAACAAACTAATTAGTGTTTTATAACAAAGGTTAATTATCTTTTATTTAAGCAAGACAAGATATTCTTTGATCTTATGACAACAATACAGTTATGCTTTGAAATATCAATCTTTTTATGCAGGAAAATGTATGAAATAAGATGAAATAAAGAATATATTCTAATGATTAACATATTCTTAGTTAATCAAGAAATCTTAAATTTGGTTTATTTAAAACTCCAACAATATGTAAAAGATGTAGTATGCGAAAAAAGTAATGACATGTAATGCATGAAATTACACAACTTTTTGCTAAAGTAATGGATTATATTACAATTACATGTAATGCACAAATTGCTGCATTACACATTACATGCAATTACTTGGAAAAATGTAATGCATTACCATGCATTACAATTACAAATTTGAAATTACCCCATCCCTGAAAGAAACCATTCATATCATATTTGTAATTGTGAATCTGAGTGGTTTTTATCAACCAAATGTAACATTAAATGATAACAATAAATAAAAGTAATGTATGTTTTACTTGATCACGTGCATTTCAAACCACACAAATGTTTTGAATGACAAGTTTAAATATTGTGACGAAATGTCGGTTCCCTGAAATGGAACTTGTTTCCCCTAAAATTGTGTAATGACGTCGTTTCAATCGTACCGATAAATGACCTTTGTTATTATATATTTCTGGTATAAGTGTGTTTAAACATTGTTAACTCTAAAACTTTTATTATCCTTGCCTTTGTTTTTGCATTGGAGCACATCTTAACTGTTTAACGTTTTACCAATGTTGGTAATAACCAGTTCCGGTTTCGGTAATTTAGGTATTTCCTAAATGGTAAACCAAATCAGGAAATTGGTTTACTGAAGTATAAATACGGCTGATAATTCAAATAAGTTTCAGCACGTAAATCTCGCTAATTCCAAGCGATTGTAATAGAAGTATAGATACCAGTTACCAGACCAAGTAGTAACAAGGGACGATATATTACAATGTCCGAGGAGACTAGGTCCGTATGTTAAATGTTAATTTCTTTACGGTTTACACTTAGAAAATAACTTCGTAAGTTAAACTTTATAACGAATCATTTGATATCGAGTTTTACCATTTGCCGATTTCGTAACTATAATTAGTAAACTTTCTGAGTATATTTTCCTGCTATCCATTTTCTTAAATTCGCAACAAAAAGGTTAATGAAATGTTTATTTATTAAATTGAACACTTTTAAGTTATTTGAATTATATATGTATTGTTGATATTTAATGCATATTAAAGTTGTATCAGTTGATTTTATTTAACGAGTCTGTTATTCATTCGAACATCGATACGGAGAGTTACCATACAAAACCATAATTGTGTACGGGCCGAAAACTTATGCCCTTATCTACCCTTTATATCCAAGGTATTACCCAACCAGAAGAACCAACCGCACCGGGGTGTATACGGAATTCTAGAGTACCACGCAACCAAAGGAAGAGTTACTGGATGTAAACTTTATTCCCTATTTATGACTGATATTACAAAAAAAAAACATATTCTTATAGCATTAAACGAAGGCTCGACCGCTCGGTTTTCGTTACAGCTACCATACAAGGGTGTATACAGAATTCCAGAGTACCATGCCACCAAGGAAAGAGTGACTGGATGTAAACTTTATTCCCTATTTATGACTGATATTACAAAAACATATTCTTATAGCATTACACTAAGGCACGACCGCTCGGTTTTCGTTACAATGTTGCATAACTTATGGATAACATAACAAGATCGATTTGAAATTCGGGGTTATTATAATTCCCTCCTATATATATTTCTGGTAAAATACTTCTACAAATCTTATACCGACTAAGGATATCTATATTCCGGTTGTAAATATTTTATTTATAGAAATAGTGATGATATAGATAGGATATTTCTAATTTGATATAAAACTTTTTATAGAACTATCGTAGTCAATATTAATGTAAACCATTACATAAACTTTATGTGATTATTAGAATTTCATTGAAGTAGAATTATGCTAGTACAACATGTTAAGATGTGGTATTCCATAAAATTTTATCTCGCCAGAAAGTGATTTGTAGAAACGATGACAATTGTTCATTTTAAAGAGAAACACACATTATACGTCAGGGGGATTAAGAATATTCATTACATGTAAGGGGATACAAGGTGTCCCTCTCCGGATGAAACATGGAGTCATGCAGTCTGAAATTAGACTTTTCAAATATAACATGTATAAGGAATTCTCTAAATAATGAAATCATTGCGAATATTTGTACTTACAGAGATTTTAAGTTGGTAAGATTTTCGAAAGTGTCTTTCCTGATAAATGTCAGATTGTTTGATCTCAAACTTCTGAAAAATGTGTACAACACTAAGTTATCATAACCGAAGTATTTATATACGCTTATCTTTATGCATGAAAGTATACTACATATACACAATAACAATTAACAAAATAAATGTCAGATGCTAAGTATAATGGGCAAAAAGGAAAGTTCACTGTAAAAAACATTTTTTATATTTCGCTACACAAATAAGTTCATCAGGCGCGTGCAGCCATCCAGGTAAAAAATCGGAGGCTGTAAAGAAATTTTTGCAGCTTAATGTACATGTCTTTAATATATTTGTGCAGCTTATTGTACATTGCGATTCTTAAATCAAAACAAATAATTGAGTTAGTTAGATAGTATGAAGTTCAGGATTTATTCCTTTGGTTTTGAATACAACTGTTTTTTATCTCTCTCATTCAGTCCATCAGGTTCAAAAGTACGTAGCTGTTGCATCCAGAATATGTCTCTCTGTTTTCTATTTTGGGTGTCCCAATTTTAATTTAACTCTATTACTGGAAAGGTGATATTTTCAAAAGTATGTCTTGTGAAAGAATGAATGTACATAAAGCTGCAAAAATTTCTTTACAACCTCCGATTTTTTACCTGGATGGCTGCACGCGCCTGATGAAGCTAATTTGTTTACCGAAATATTTCGTGAATATATAAAATATAACAACTATTTTTATAACACTCAGTAGTGTGTTAAATTTTCATTCTTAGGCATTTATATAATTTAATTCAGTAACTGCATCAGTTTATTTACAAACTGATCCACGCCTAGATAGATTGAATGTTGATTGTTGCTATTTTTAGACACTATATACATATATATATATATATATAATTCGTCTAAACAACAGCTCAACAATGTTTGATCTGTAAATTTGCGGAAGCAAATTTTTTGTTCTTCCCTGGCTAAGATTCAAACTCTACTACTGAGATATCGTGGCACCAAATCGCCATGCACTATGCCCGACGCGCTAGGCCAATCGACCACCTAGGCTCTATAATTATAAAGCTTTCGGTGGATGGGTGTTACCTTTCCTCGTCAGTTCTTATCTAGCGTCGTGAAACAGTACATGAAATATAAGGCATGGAGATTGAATGAAGATAAACAGATAAAACCTGACGAGGCGATTTGGTGCCACGATATCTCAGAGTTCGAATCCCGGCCAGGGAAGAACAAAAAATTTGCTTCCGCAAATTTACAGATCTAACATTATTGGGCTGTTGTTTAGACGAATTATATATACAGAATGTATTTTCAGCATTGTATCACCATCACTGCTGGTGATCCGATGGATAAAATCTGTTGTAGAGTCGTCACTGGTTCAGACATACTTGTAATATAGTTATTTCTGTGACTGCATCTTACATTAATTTGTAAGATCCTCTACGATAGATAATTCAACTGACCTGTAATATTCCATCTCCATGCCTTTTATATCATGTACTGTGTTACGATGCTAGATAAAAACTGACGAGGAAAGGTAACACCCGGCCAACGAAAGCTTGATTTTTGACGAGCCTGGGTGGTCGAGTGGTTTAGCGCACCGGGCCTAGTGCAAGGCGATTCGGTGCCACGATATCTCAGTAGCATGAGTTCGAATCCCGGACAGGGAAGAACAAAAATTTGCGGAATACAAATCTAGCATTGTTGGGCTGTTATTTAGACGAATTATATATACAGAATGTGTTTTCAGCCTTGTATCACCATCACTGGTTATCCGATGGATAAAATCTGTCGTAGAGTTGGCACTGGTTCAGACGTACTTATTATATACATGTATTTATACACAAGTCTAAATTGAAAACAACGTTCAAACCTATGATTGCGTTGGATAAAACTGCAATTTTTATACGTGTGCATGCCAAACCAATTTCTTGGTAGAGGGGTCTAAATACAACACAAACAACATTTTCCAAAAGACCAAAAACGTGAAAAAGTATATTTTAACAAAACGCATTTGACTAGCAGGTCGAACAACGGATGTTCTTAAACACTGCTGACTGCCATTGGCGATTTCCAAATAAACGGATCACCTGATGTAACAAAATGGATCTATATATATATGTTGTATACAAGTTATCATTTTGTACATAATTTGTATTTTGACTTTGTACAAATTATAATTTGTACAAAAAGTGCCTGTACAAATTACAATTTGTACATAATAAGGCTTAATTTCAGTTATAACTCGTAGAATAATTTATTATATGGATATTGTGATAAAAAAGTGTTGATACCCACTATAAAAAATTTGCAATGCTATTTTTAAAGTCATACTGATTCATTTATATTGCCTTGAGGTTATAAATTGAACTCCTGTTCACTGGTCTTTCACATGGTCATTAACAAAAGTAAAAGTTAAGGTGTTAACAAAAATGCCTAGTATTGTTGATCAACAGGATAAATTTTATCAATAAGTTCAGCAATTTGCTGAGAATAACACATGTAAGCACAACCATCTTTATACTAGGGACAAATTGAATGAGTTAATTTCTAAAGTTAAAAATGCAAGAGAGGCATTGAAGAAAAGTGACCAAGACAGACATTTGCTAGAGAAATATGATGTTGAAAAGCTCATCATTGTATTGTTTTATATGACAAATATAGAAGAGAGTCTGAAATCGAATGTAAACAAAAATCTATCCCAAATCCTGGAATTTTGATTGATTGATTGATTGTTGGTTGCTTACCGTCCAGTGGCAAATATTTCGTGCATGTTCATGACGATGTATCAAATTGATCATACTATGCATTATTGCATACAGAAGATTGCAGTCACTATGGCACATCAACCTAAAATCGTAACTCTATATGATCACAGTAAATAAGGGTGTACAAGTATTATTTAAAGAACTTTAGGTCACAAAACAGACGACCATATGAGCTTAACTATTTCACAGATTTTCTTATATTTATAATATTTGAACAAGCATATCGCTGTTAGGGCTCTTAACATAATTATCTTTATAACAAAATACCAGTTTAGATTTGTGCCATACTCAAAATGGTTTAATTCTTACTTTCAGATGACACCATACTTTACTACTTATCCTTTGAGGATATGTATGATATTTTATAAACAGCACACGTTGGGGTCGGTCATGGATGTCTCCATAAAACTAACAAAGAACTCAAAAAAACATTTTGCTAACATTAGCCGGGAAGCAATACGCATATTTCATGTATTTACAACCAACTGTGAACAATGTATCTTGAAACGAAAACGTACTGACATATCAAAACTTGTTATTAAACCTATAATTTCTGCTGACTTCAACTGTAGAGGGCAGGTTGACCTTGTAGATCATCAATCTGTCCCCGACCATGAATTTAAATGGATAATGCACTATCAAGATCATCTTACCAAATTTAGCGTGCTTAGAGATCTGAAATCTAAGAGAGCTGCTGAAGTTGCTTATGAATACCTTGACATTTTTCTTCTCTTTGGTGCACGTCATATCCTCAAAAGCGATAATGGGACGGAGTTCACTGCACATATAATCACTGAACTGAAATCGTTATGGTCAGAATTAGTAATAGTTCATGGGCGACCAAGACATCCCCAACGTCAAGGGTCAAGAGCAAATGCAGACATTTTAAGAAATGCTCATAAAAAATTGAGAATGGAAATGGGGAATGTGTCAAAGAGACAACAACCCGACCAAAGAGCAGACAACAGCCGAAGGCCACCAATGGGTCTTCAATGCAGCGAGAAACTCCCGCACCCGGAGGCGTCTTTCATAGCATGGATGAATGAAAATGACACACAACAGTGGTCTGAACGTTTGTGCTTCGTGCAATATCAGAAAAATAGATCATATCACAGAGTATATGATCAATCGCCTTACCATGCTCTGTTTGGTTCTGACCAAAGATAGGTTTATATTCATCTTCTTTGCCCAAGGAACTTTTGCCAAATCTAAAATCCGAGGAAAATTTGGAAAAAGTGTTCAAAGAGTTTCAGAGGAGAACAGTGAAATTGAGATTGATGGTACGGATGAAATCACAGATGCTGAATCGGTAAAATCAGAAAGAGAACCTAACGATTCTGTGACTGATAGTGAAACTGGATCAACTAGTACAATTTTTTAAGTGAAGAGCATTGTATATTATTGTATAGTATTGAAAATAGAGTTATCCGTGTGTTTCATATTGATTCATAATTAAAATTGAAATTATTTTTATCATTTGATCTGAAACTTATTCTATGTAAAATATTGTACAAGTTATAAGTGAAATTAAGCCTTATTATGTACAAATTATAATTTGTACAAAGTCAAAATACACAAATTATAATTTGTACAAAGTCAAAATACAAATTATAATTTGTACAACATGATAGCTTGTACACAACTTGGGTCGTCAATTTACCGAACGCTTTTATTACGTTCGCGATTATGGGCCTATCTAGTCTTTTGTTATAATAATTGTTTTCAATAAAATTATTATTCTTTATATATAATTATATAACTTATTATCTTTCTAATGCAATTGAATAAACGCTTGCAACTTGTTTAATGTTGATCGGTTAATTTTGTTATCATCTGAAAACAGATTTTGACTGTACAGCAGATTTTTAAAAAAATTCGATTAAAATGTAAAAAAAAACACTCGTCTACTTATTAAAACATAGTGGAGTGCAAATGGATATGTATCTACCGCCTTTTTTAGTAGATATTGAAATAAGTCAAATGTATCGTATTTTACTGGATTGATTTTACCTGTTGCCAAACGCACTTATATTTTTCACAATATATTCTAGAAACATCCTTAGAGTGTTTTTGTATTTTTAACACATGTTTGTTATCATAATAAAATCTGCAGTGTATACACATGGGTCGTCAATTTGCCGAAAGCTTTGATTGTACAAAGGGCGATGATGTTTACGTTCGCGATTATGGGACTATCTAGTCTTTAGTTATAATAATTGTTTTCAATAAAATTATTATTAAACTCTGTCAAACGAACAGGGTCACCAATGGTTAAACTATTTGACGACGTAACTCCAGAAAGTCGTAATTATTGATTACAGTAAACATATTCTGCAACTGATTGACATTTAAATCTTGTTTTCATTTGCGTCTGGTTAAAAGCTATAACAATATATACATACAGAAGGTTAAGCGATGGTAGGTCTTGAAATGTTCCTTGCTGTATTGTTGTTAATTGATTTATTTGGATTGATCTGAAAAAATATACAGAAAACTAAAGTATGAGCAACACAAACAACATAAGCAGTTCATTAATGGTCAATACATATGCATTAATTATTAGTATCTGTAAACAGGTCATCATACTTATCTTGTCACAATAATTTAGTTATTATAAATTCTTACAACGTAACAATGTACATGATGTATACAAACTTCCTTTCTATATTTTCCACAATAAAAACCAGCTAATAATTACACTGTATGTTAATAGAATATTTTGATATTTCACAATAAACTAAATGCCTAACGCTTTAAATCGTATATGTCTTTGGCATATTGTTTTTAATTCTAAAAAAACACAATGAAATGAGATAAAAGGAGTCTTTTCGAAAAAAAATATGTTCACTCTGAGTCAGACACATTGGAACGCAATTACAGAAATTAGAATATCACTACTTCATATACGTAATTTTTTGTCATGTTCAAACGAACAAGAACTATGTATATGCACAACGCTACTTAAGTTCCGAAATCTAATACAACCTAAGACGATATACATGTACTCTTTCATTCTTGAGATACGAAGACACATTTGTGTTTTATCTTGAAAATGACCAAGTCATCTTGTTAAAGATACATTTATGTGCCGTGATAAGTATTCAAACACAACATAATAACTGAGGTTTAAACAGTTCTCTACCAAGTTTCGAACATTTATTGCTCAGAAAACGAATATGTACCTCAACCAAGAGATGACATACTAAAATATTTCTCCTACATGCACACATTTATGTTTGCCAATTTATCAGTTAAAGGCGTCATGGACCATTTAATAAATATTTTCAAAGTAAACGAAATGTTGTCATTAAACATTTCAGTGTTGTAATGACATTTATTTACAAAATTATGTTAATCTTTTCAAAGTAGAAAATCTTGCCAACAATTTTTTATCGGAAAATGCTACATTATGATTGCAACATTATATATAGTGGCAATTGTTATTTATTACATACTGGTAGTTAAAAACTGCGGTTAATAGTTTTTATTTTAAGGTGTAGAATGGAAGTCTTCTTTCTTATATGAGTTTAGTTAATTGCTGATATTATCTAAACAAAAACACCAAGGAACTATAATTGTCTCAATAATTAGTGTTCTTTTCCAATGTTCATGTTTGTTATTCAATTACAGTAAGTAATTCCCTTTTTGAAAAACATTTGAAAAAAAAAAACATATCTCTTATTTTTAGAAAACAAAAAGAACATGTTATCTCTATCGCACTTTTTTATAGAAATATATTTAAAGTTTATACGTTCTGTTCATATATGTTTGTTACCATTATGAAATCTGCAGTGTAACCATTTGGTTAATCGATGTCAATTTGCAGAACTCATTAATCATTTGAAATGCGACTACTTAAAAATTTGCAACTATCAAATCGTTTCGTAGAGTTATCATTTAAAAAAAAGATTATTAGTAAATCCAGTCAATTCAAACCGAACAGGTTCACAAATGGTCACACTATTCGACGACAGAAAATTAATTTACATTTTTTCCTCAATTGCTTTTTTATAAATATAGATTCTTACATTGATACCAGTTGATTATCGGATTTATCCAATCGAGATAGTTAAATTATCAATTTTAAAGTCCGAGCCTCGGCAAGGACTTTAAAATTGATAATTTAACTATCGAGATTGGATAAATCCGATAATCCACGAGTAACTATGTAAGAATCTGTTTCTCTAATGATTAAAAAATAAAATTTTAATTTTTTGTTAAACGAAAATCCCCTTCAAGTCCCTTCCACATTTCACAAAGTTTTCAATTTCATTAACACCTGTTAGCATATTTTGATTCATTCAGTTAGCTGATTAAGGTTATGACCCTTAAACTCATCCAATCATCTTCTGAGATCACCGGCAACCACACGTTGATTAAATTTTTTTATACAATGAGTGCTGAAAGGTATAAATTGTCAAAGAATTAGAGAAAATATTGTAACTATGTATACATACAGGCGGCCTAGTGCTGGTAGGTCTTGAAATGATCCTTGCTGTATTGTAGTTATTTGATTGCTGTATAAATACCTGAAACAAAACAATGATGATTTTTATGATAATTAACAGGATATGTTTAACCTTCCGAAGCACCTGATACTACCCCCAGTTTTGATGGGGTTCATGTTGCTAAGTCTTTGGTTTTTTATGTTATGTTTTGTGTACTGTATTTGTCTGTTTGTCTTTTTCTTTATTAACCATGGCGTTGTCAATTTATTTTCGAATTAGGAGTTTGAATGTCCCGTTGGTATCCTTCGCCTCTCTTTTACATTGAAAATTTTTTTTTTATCACCATAGATAGATGTTGATTCATAAAATTTTGATAAATATCATATAGGGATTTAGACGCAGGTCGATTAACATCTTTCCGTATAGGCAACAGTAGTTTACAAATTTTCAACCAAGTGGCAATGACAGATTGTTTTCTAAAAATTTACTTAATCACTATAATTTTTCCAACATATGTACATATCAGCATTAAATATGATAAAAAATACCAAGAGATAACATAGTTAACAGACAATTCTACGGCTGGAATTGACAAGTTTAAATAAATAAATCTTTGTCACCAATGGTCAACGGCAGAACTTTAAAATATCGTAATCATTGATAATAGTAAAATATACTCTGCCACAGATGAACTATAAATTTTGTTATCATTTGCTTCTTGATAAACTATTGTAACAATGTACACATACAGTTCGTATAGAGCTGGTAGGTCTTGAAATACTCCTTGCTGTATTGTAGTTATTTGATTTTTGTGCAAATGCCTGAAACAAAATAATTGTTATCTTAAATATATTTTACACTAAAGATATTGTTTACTATCATTGATAAATAGAGACCTCTAAAATATTGGTGTTACCCTGATGCCAGTCAAAAAACCAAATTGAGTGTAGGCATGTATATATGATATATAAACATATGTAAATATAAGCGTTTCTGGTTTTTTATCATTGACAAGTTAGCTAAATATTTGTTTATAGTTGACTTTGATTGAAGAATTTGTGTAAGTGTATACATTTCAAATTATTCTCGGCAATCCCTGAGGTGTCTATCAAAGTCCTTATATGTATGTCGTTTGAGTTATAAAAACCTAAAGGAAACATGTCTAACCAGTGCAGTAGGAAGTAAAATCATATAAATACTGAACTCCGAGGAAAATTCAAAAAGGAAAGTCTCTAATCAAATGTCAAAATCAAAAGCTCAAACACATCAATCGAATGGATCCATTCAATTGTCACTAGGTCATTCACTCACTTACGAATGCATGAATCTTGACACAGTCCTTTCCGTCAACATCTAAAGTGTGCTGTTTAGAATTATGAGTTATAATCCGGTTGCCGTCATTATCAATTCATTCACTCAATCACATTTAAGTTACCGCGGATAACTTACTAATAAAGCAAAAATTCCGAAATTAATTTACCAGATGCATAATTTTATGTAGAAAATATGAATTGTTATTAGAATATCTAATGATTTAATATTTTCTATAGTGAAGATTCATTCCAATCAAACGGATCATACCATGCAAAAGTGTAGATTATTGATTCCCGTTCACTGTGTGGTTGCATAATGAATAATGGAAAAGATGTCAAATGCTTCTTGCCTATTTACTGTTTATATTCAATCATCGACATTTTTCTGATAGAAGTAAGTATAGAGCCTAGGTGGTTGAGTGGTCTAGCGCGTTGGGGGTAGTGCAAGGCGATTTGGTGTCACGATATCTCAGTAGCATGAGTTCGAATCCCAGCGAGGAAAGAACAAAACAATTTGGGAAAGCAAATTTACAGGCAAATTTACAGATCTAACATTGTTGGGCTGATGTTTAGACGAGTTGTATATACAGAATGTTCACAGCCATGTATCATCATCACTGCTGGTAATCCAATGGACAAATCTGTTGTAGAGTTGTCACTGGTTCGGACGTACTTATAAATATAATTATTCCTGTGACTGTATCTTGCATTAATTTGTAGGATCCTTTACAATAGATATTTCAGCTGATCTGTAACAATTCCATTTTCATGCCTTTTATACTGTATTGCGACGCTAGATCAAAACTGACGAAGAAAGGTAACATCCTGCCAGCGAAAGCTTTATTATTGACGCCTAGGTGGTCGTGTGGTCTAGCGCGTCGGTTACAGTGCAGGCAATTTGGTGTCACGATATCTCAGTAGCATGAGTTCAAATCCCGGTGAGGGAAGAACAAAAAATTAGCAAGAGCAAATTTACAGATCTAACATTGTTGGTCGGATGTTTAGACGAGTTGTGTACATATATATATATATATATATATATATATATATATATATATTAGTTGATTTTAGTCTCTGATGCATGATTTTTTATTATTAATTGTTTTGGCTTTTACCTAGCTGTCAGTAACTGCGAGTACTCTCAAATTGTACTTTCTTGTTTATTTGACCTGTTGATACTAATTGTATTGCTTTTTTGTTATTTAATGTTATTCAGGGTTATATCTGGTCTGTGTAACAGCTTTGATAAGTGTTTGGTATAACTTTAAATTTTCACTTCGTACTATGAACATCAAAATTATTTATTTCGTAAAAATATTTCCTTTCTCTATTGGTACTGTACACGTATACCTAACAACAAAATTATTTTCATTTACCTGTGTTTAAAGTTTTTGCAAATGGCTGATATTTTTGTTCGAGCTTATTGTTTTTCTTAAATTGTTTAACATTTCTTACCGATATAACATGTTACTTTTATTATTCTTCCCTTAGTTGATTTATTTTGTATTTACATTGTGTCATAGGTCTTTGTTCAGTGTAAGTTCAATGGTGTTAGTATGTCCTTTGATTGAGTTAAGCTATTTCAGTTGATATTTTATACCGTGTCTTTCTACGTTGTTATGTTACACTAATGTTTCAGAAAAAGGGTGAAGGTTTGGTACCATTAAAACGTTTGAACCCGCTGCATTTGTTTGCACTTGTCCTAAGTCAGAAATCTGATGTTCAGTAGTTGTCGTTTGTTGATGTGGTTCATAAGTGTTTCTCGTTTCTCGTTTTTTATATAGATTAGACCGTTGGTTTTCCCGTTTGAATGATTTTACACTAGTAATTTTTTGGGGCCCTTTATAGCTTACTGTTCGGTGTGAGCCAAAGCTTCGTGTTAAAGACCGTACTGTGACCTATAATTGTTTACTTTTATAAATTTTGACTATGATGGAGAGTTGTCTCATTGGCACTCATACCACATCTTCTTATATCTATATATATATTAATTAATAAAAGATAATAACGATTTCAATTCATCACTTTTACTAGCACTTTCACTGCAAGCTGCAAGCTGTGAAAGCGCTAGTAAAAGTGATGAATTGAAACCGTTATTATCTTTTATTTATTTTCGTATATGTTACCAGCATACGGGTTCTACTTAACTTTTCTTTATGAAATATATATATATATATATATATATATATATATATACAAGTCTAAATTGAAAACAATGTTCAAACCTATGATTGCGTTGGATAAAAACCGCAATTTTTATACGTGTGCATGCAAAACATATTTCTTGATAGAATCTAAATACAGCACAAACAACATTTTACAAAAGACAAAAAAAGTAAAAAAGTATATTTCAACAGAACGCATTTGACTAACAGGTCGAAAATGTTCTTAAACCCTGCTGACTGCTATTAGCGATTGCCAAATAAACGGATCACAAGATGTTACAAAATAGATCTTTTAAAATCTATAAATTTAATACCAAACAGAAAACAATAAACTTGAGGAAAAGATGGTAAACCGCAAACAAAAGGTGCAAAAATTAGTACACCATATCCGGATTTCGACAATTAATGTCTCTTCAGTGATGTTAGGGTTCGAAACAGTATTTAGAAGGCCATATATTTTACCTCAATTTAGGATAGACTCTTGAATTTTAGAGTCGAAATAGGATTAACAGATCATATAAATCCGAGGGAAAATATAATACAAGCTCAAACGAAAAAATATAAACAAGTCTAAATTGAAAACAACGTTCAAACCTATGATTGCGTTGGATAAAAACTGCAATTTTTATACGTGTGCATGCAAAACAAATTTCTTGATAGAGGGGTCTAAATACAGCACAAATATATATATATATATATATATGTATAAATGTTTGCACTTCATGTTTGTCGTATACCATCTTTTCCGCAAGTTTATTGTTTTCTGTTTGGTATTAAATTAATATTAAGATTCTTTGTTACATCTGGTGATCATTTTATTTGGCAATCGCCAATGGCAGTCAGCAAGGTTTAAGAACATCCGTTGTTCGACCTGTTAGTCAAATGCGTTTTGTTTAAATATACTTTTTCACTTTTTTGTTCTTTTGGAAAATGTTGTTTGTGCTGTATTTAGACCCCTCTACCAAGAAATTTGCTTTTCATGGACACGTATAAAAATTGCGGTTCTTATCCAACGCAATCGTTGGTTTGAACGTAGTTTTCAATTTAGACTAGTTTATATTTTTTCGTTTGGGCTGTATCATATTTTCGCTTCGGTTTATATAATCCGTTCATCCTACTTTGACTCTTTAATATTCCAGGGTCTATCCTTCATTAAGGTAAATTATATGGCCTTCCAAATACCGTTTCGATCCCTAACATCACTGAATAGACATTAATTGTCGAAATCCGCAGCTGGTGTACAAATATTTGCACCTCATGTTTGTGGTATAACATCTTTGCCGCAAGTTTATATTTTTCTGTTTAGTATTTAATTCATATTTAGATCCATTTTGTTACATCTTGTGATCAATTTATTTGGCAATCGCCAATGGCAATCAGCAGGGTTTAAGAACATCAGTTGTTAGACCTGTTAGTCAAATGCGTTTTGTTTAAATACACTTTTTCACTTTTTTGGTGTTTTTGAAAATGTTATTTGTGCTGTATTTAGACCCCTCTACCGAGAAATTTAATTTACATGCACACGTATAAAAATTGCGGTTTTTATCCAACGCAATCATAGGTTTGAACGTAGTTTTTAATTTAGATTTGTTTCTATTTTTTCGTTTGGGCTTGTATCATATTTTCCCTCCTGTTAACATGATCCGTTCATCCTGTTTTGACTTTTTAAAATTCAAGAGTCTACCCTTAATTCAGGTAAATCATATGGCCTTCCAAATACCGTTTCAATCCCTAACATCACTGAAGAGACATTAATTGTCGAAATCCAGATGTGGTGTACAAATATGTGCACCTCATGTTTGTGGTATAACATCTTTGCCGCAAGTTTATTGTTTTTCTGTTTAGTATTTAATTAATATTAAGATCCATTTTGTTACATCTTGTGATCAATTTATTTGGCAATCGCCAATGGCAGTCAGCAGGGTTTAAGAACATCAGTTTTCCGACTTGTTAGTCAAATGCGTTTTGTTAAAATATACTTTTTCACTTTTTTTGGTCTTTATGAAAATGTTGTTTGTGCTGTATTTAGACCCTTCTACAACGGAATTTTTTTTACATGCACTCGTATAAAAATTGCGGTTTTTATCTTACGCAATCATAGGTTTGAACGTAGTTTTCAATTTAGACGTGTTCATATTTTTTTCGTTTGGGCTTGTATCATATTTTCCCTCCGGTTTATATGATCCTTTCATCCTATTTTTACTCTTAAAAATTCAAGAGTCTATCCTAAATTCAGGTAAATTATATGGCCTTCCAAATACCGTTTCGATCCCTAACATAAAAAAAATATGATACAAGCCCAAACGAAAAAATATAAACAAGTCTTAATTGAAAACAACGTTCAAACCTATGATTGCGTTGAATAAAAACCGCAATCTGTATACGTGTGCATGCAATCATAGGTTTGAACGTTGTTTTCAATTTTAACTTGTATATCCATCATATATATATATATATAAGCAAGTCTTATTTGAAAACAACGTTCAAACCTATGACTGCGTTTGATAAAAACCGCAATTTTCATACGTGTGCATGCAAAGCAAATTTCTTAATAGAGTAATCTAAATACAGCACAAACAGCATTTGTCAAAAAACAAAAAAAGTGAAAAAGTATATGTTAACAAATCGCAATTGACTAGCAGGTCGAACAACGGATGTTCTTAAGCCTTGCTGACTTCCATTGACGATTGCCAAATAAACGGATCACCAGATGTAACAAATCAGATCTTAACTATTAATTCAATACCAAAAAGAAAACAATAAACTTGCAGAAAAGATGGAATACCGCAAACAAAAGGTGCACAAATGTGTACACTATATCCGGATTTCGACAATTAATGTCTCTTCAGTGATGTTAGGAATCCAAACGGTCTTTGGAAGGCCATATAATTTACCTCAATTTAGGATGGACTCTTGAATTTTAAAAAGTCGAAATAGGATGAACGGATCATATAAACCCGACGGCAAATATAATACAAGCTAAAACGATAAAATATAAACAAGCCTAAATTGAAAACAACGTTCAAACCTATGATTGCGTTGGATAAAAACCGCAATTTTTATACGTGTGCATTCAAAACTTATTTCTTGGCAGAGGGGTCTAAATACAGCACAAACAACATTTTCCAAAAGACCAAAAAAGTGAAAAGTATCTGTTAACAAAACGCATTTTACATGCAGGTCGAACAACGGATGTTCTTAAACCCTGCTGACTGTCATTGGCGATTGTCAATAAACGGATCACCAGAAATAACAAAATGGATCTTAACTATTAATTTAATACCAAAACGATGATAATAAACTTGCGGAAAAGATGGTATACTGCAAATAAAAGGTGCAACAATTTGTACACCATATCCGGATTTCGACAATTAATGTCTCTTCGGTGATGTTAAGAATTGAAACGGTATTTGGAAGGCCATATAATTTACCTCAATTTAGTATAGATTCTTAAATTTTGAAAAAGTCGAAATAGGATAAACGGATCATATAAACCCGAAGGTAAATACAATACAATCCCAAACAAAACAGTATACATAAGTCTTAATTGAAAACAACGTTCAAACCTATCATTGCGTTGGATAAAAACCGCAATTTTTATACGTGTGCATGCAAAACAAATTTCTTGGAAGAGGGGTCTAAATACAGCACAAACAACATTTTACAAAAGACCAATAAAGTGAAAAAGTATATTTTAACAAAACGCATTCGACTAGCAGGTCGAACAACGGATGTTCTTAAACCCTGCTGACTGCCATTGTCGATTGCCAAATAAAAGGATCACCAGATGGACCAAAATGGATCTTAACTATTAATTTAATACCAAAAAAAAAATAATAAACTTGCGGAAAAGATGGTATACCGCATACAAAAGGTGCAACAATTTGTACACTATATCCGGATTTTGACAATAAATGTCTCTTCAGTGATGTTAGAAATCGAAACGGTATTTAGAAGGCATTATAATTTACCTCAATTTAGGATAGACTCTTGAATTTTGACAAGTCGAAATAGGATAAACGGATCATATAAACCCGAAGGTTAATAGAATACAAGCCCAAACGATAAAATATAAACAAGTATTAATTGAAAACAACGTTCAAACCTATGATTGCGTTGGATAGAAACCGCAATTTTAATACGTGTGCATGCAAAACTAATTTCTTGGTAGAGAGGTCTAAATACAGCACAAACAACATTTTCCAAAAGACCAAAACAGTGAAAAAGTATATGTTAACAAAACGCATTTTACTAACAGGTCGAACAACCAATGTTCTTAAACCCTAATGACTGCCATTGGCAATTGCAAACAAAAAACGGATCACCAGATGTAATAAAATGGATCTTAACTATTAATGTAATACAAAAAAAAACAATAATAAGGTTCAATATATATATAACTAATAATTTTTTTATTGAAAACATTGATTATAAGAAAAGACTAGATAGGCCCATAATCAGCAGTGTATTCATATGGGTCGTCAATTTGCCGAACGCTTTGATTACGTTCGCGATTATAAGCCTGTCTAGTGTTTTGTTATAACAATTGTTTTCAATAAAATTATTATTCTTTATATATAATTATATAACTTATTATCTTTCTAATGCAATTGAATAAACGCTTGCAACTTGTTTAATGTTGATCGATTAATTTTGTTATCATCTGAAAACAGAATTTGACTCTACAGCAGATTTTTAAAAAATCGATTTAAATGTTTAAAAAAAACCATAAAACACTCGTCTACTTATTAAAACATAGTGGATTGCAAATGGATTTGTATCTACCGCCTTTTTTTTAGTAGATATTGAAATAAGTCAAATGTATTGTATTTTACTGGATTGATTGTACCTTTTGTCAAACACAATTATATTTTTCACAATATATTCTAGAAATATCCTTAAAATGTTTTTGTACTTCTAACACATGTTTGTTTTCATAATACAATCTGCAGTGTATACACATGGGTCGTCAAATTGCCGAACGCTTTGATTGTGCAAAGGGCGATGATGATTACGTTTGCGAGTATAGGCCTATCTAGTCTTTTCTTATAATAATTCAATAAAACTATTATTAAACTCTGTCAAACGAACAGGGTCACCAATGGTTCTACTATTTGACGTTGGAACTCCAGAAAGTCGTTATTTTTTATTACAGTAAACATATTCTGCAACTGATTGACATTTAAATTTTGTTTTCATTTGCGTCTGATTAAAAGCTTTAACAATATATACATACAGATGTTTAAGCGACGGTAGGTCTTGAAATGTTCCTTGCTGTATTGTTGTTAATTTATTTGTATGCAATGATCTGAAAAAAAATATCATATAGAAACCTACAGTATGAGCAACACAAACAACCTAAGCAGTTAATTAATGGTCAATACATATGCATTAATTATTAGTGTCTGTAAACAGGTCATCATACTTATCTTGTCACAATAATTTAGTTATTATAAAATTCTTACAACGTACCATGTACACAAATGTCCTTTCTATATTTTCCACAATAAATAAACAGCTAATAATCACACTGCATGTTAATTGAATATTTTGATATTTCACAATAAACTGAATTTGGCATATTGTTTTTAATTCTATAAAATACAATGAAATGAGATAAAGGTAGTCTTTTCGAAAAAAAATGTTCACTCTGATTCGGGCACATTGGAACGCAAGTACAGAAATTAGAATATCACTGTTTCATATACGTAATTTTTATCATGTTCAAACTGAAATATGTATATGCACAACACTGCTTAATTTCCGAAATCTAATACATCCCAAGACGATATACATGTACTCTATCATTCTTAAGATAAGAAGACACATTTGTGTTTTATCTTGAAAATGACTAAGTCATTTTGTTAAAGATACATGTATTTGCCGTGATAAGTATTCATACACACGATACGCAGTGATATTAAGGCACTTTACCGAGAAAAATACGTTAAAAAGCATATTCTTTTTAATCAACTTTAAATTAAGATTGCCAAAAAAATCTTCAAAGCAGCGGTAGTAGTGTGAATCATTAAAATCTAAATTAAATTTTTCAGTGTTTATTTATATCGAAAGTGAAAGTAGTCACGTGACCCGAGCAGCTACTGAAGGTCGTTCATTTCAATTTCAACTCAGAAGTCCAGCGTGTTGCTGGAATCTTTTAACAAAAATTAAAGTATCAATAAATTCGTCTGAATGTATATTTTCTTAAAAAGGTACAAACTGATGTAAATCTGATAGAAATAGTGACTTTTTTACGAATTACCCCGTGGACACCCATTATTTGTATTGAAATCAAGATGTATCAGTGTTTGGATAGCAATATTCTCTTAAAAGAGACATTTCTTATTTGAAATTGGTTAAAATCAAGTGAATCTGTCTCCAGGAACACACCGGACTTTTTAATATTCTTAATCGAGTTTTATTTTGTATCGTTGCAGGTCCATTATCAAACGCTTTGAAGACGTTGTTTGAGAACACTTTGAACATATGCGGACAAATCCAATTTTCCGGAGACCAGAGAAGTGTAAATGCCGCGAATCGATGGACTGTTTTGCGTCTTTATTGCAATGTGTTATTTGTATATATTTATATCGTTTATATATTTTTTTTATTTATTTAATTGATGTATGCAACTTTTGCTACTGCCAGAATTGAAAAAAAAAAATTTTACTGATCAGATTTTTTTTTGAGTCAAGTCCAGGTATGCTTTTAGGGGTGCAATCTTTCAATGCTTTGTGAAATTTACTAGATCATGTTTTATAAAAGGCATCCAGTTGATAAATTTGAGAATAAAAATGCAGATGTACAAAATTTCTTGACCATCATTCTTCATCACCTACTTTCAAACTTTCCTACATGTGGCCCTTGCTACCTTCTGCCCTACCTTTTAGAGTTGAATATCATTTCCATCGATTCATTTTGAGTAGGACACCTTGAAATTTTCCACCAGCATATTTTGTTTAAATTTCAGTGTTTAAAATTGTATCGATCGACTTAATACCACAAAAATATTTAAATTTGGCTTAGTTTTCCATCATTTGTTGAGAAACACCTACCTTATTCCAGTCATGCCTTCATATTTTCCTGAACATAAAGTTTACCAGCATCACCAGCATAAAGGTAATATACGTTCTGCATATTTCAAATGTAAAAAAATTTTCAGCAAACAATCCACTATTAAGTAAGTGTGGAATGCTTCATACAAAGTCGAGGAATTAAAACAGGGGAAATGTTGTTGGGAAAAAAGGGGGAGTGTGTGTGTTCCAGAATCCTAGAATCCAAACATGATTTATGATTTTTTGGAAACATTTGTTGAGAAGTTTGCTGATCCAGCAAAACTCAAATCATGAATTCACTTCTTTGGTTGAAGAAATACAGAGTTATTAAAAGATTGCCTGCTTTCTTTTCTAATAACTAATTCCAATTTGTAGATTGAGTAATTATTAAAACAATAAGAAATGCAATTATAAAGTTTTCAGGTGTAAAAAAACAGAAAACCACTTCACATTTTATAGAAAAATCTTTAAGGTACACAATTGTTGATTCCTATTCAAAATACAACATTAGGAAGCTACAATCAAATTGATGTTTGGAGACTAAAAGATTTATCTGCATTAGACTGCAATGGTTTAAAATTCCTATTAGGGCTGTTCCAGAAAATACTATGTCCCCACCAGGAACAGCACTTTTTTAAACCCCACCACCCACAGAAATAATAATAAATTAGAACAACACTTCCTTTGCATTTTGGTTTGTCAAATACAACCAACCACATAATATAAAAAAATAGTATTTTCTGGAACAGCCCTTAATGAAACATATGTAAAAGAATGAAAATATTATCTTGTCACAATTTTTTTTTTTATTTGAAGTCCGTCCAAAATAGGATACAATAGACACACACCTCCTTGCATTCTGCCAAGTGTGCAGTGTACAAGCTTTAGCTATTTTTTTTGTTGAGACAATATGTGGTTTTTCTCTATTTATCAACTACACACTTCTAACAACCCATGCAATCAAATCAGTTAGTAGGTATTACAGGGTTGTTTCAGTGGCAAGCATTCCACACCTCCTTATTTTATACCAAAACAATATCAACAACAAATAAATAGTGGTTACACTGAAACATATATACAAGAGGAATGCAGATCCAACCCTCAAATGTCGCAATGAACTTCTAAAAGCTTCCTGCTCATTACAGGGTTGTGTCAGTGGCAAGCATTCCACACCTCCTTATTTTATACCAAAACAATATCAAAAACAAATAAATAGTGGTTACACTGAAACATATATACAAGAGGAATGCAGATCCAACCCTCAAATGTCGCAATGAACTTCTAAAAGCTTCCTGCTCATTACAGGGTTGTTTCAGTGGCAAGCATTCCACACCTCCTTATTTTATACCAAAACAATATCAACAACAAATAAATAGTGGTTACACTGAAACATATATACAAGAGGAATGCAGATCCAACCCTCAAATGTCGCAATGAACTTATCTGCATTAGACTGCAATGGTTTAAAATTCCTATTAGGGCTGTTCCAGAAAATACTATGTCCCCACCAGGAACAGCACTTTTTTAAACCCCACCACCCACAGAAATAATAATAAATTAGAACAACACTTCCTTTGCATTTTGGTTTTTCAAATACAACCAACCACATAATATAAAAAAATGCCTTCCCTGGGGGGTGACATAGTATTTTCTGGAACAGCCCTTAATGAAACATATGTAAAAGAATGAAAATATTATCTTGTCACAATTTCTTTTTTTATTTGAAGGCCTTACTACCTTTTTTTTATAACTTCAGACTGCAATTCAAGGACCTTTAATCACTTAGGTCTCAAATTTTCTAAAGAAAACAAACAAACACTGTTTTTCTCCATCATTTGCTTACAGACATTATAGCAATTGTGAAAAATTTGAACCTTCGATATACAATTTCTTATTAATATTTTTATATCATATTTTCACTGAAATTGTATTAATACCAAATTTATTTTATATTTCACTGAAATTGTAATATCAAATTTATTTCATATTTCGCTAAATTTATAACACAAAGCTATAAAGCAATATACATGTACATCAAATGCAAACTTCGGATGATTTTAAACAATTCAGTTGTAGCGTTAGTTCTTGGTCCTTTTGTTATTTTTCTCTGTGGGCTGCAACACATAAATTGATCAACCAAGTACGCTCTGGTTTTGAGAAAGTCTGAAATAAGAAATACAAAATAATTGCAGAATTAAGTGTAGAACATAATCCTTGAAGCAATACACAAAATATAAAGTATAGCAGTCTAAACATAAAACTTTATAAACTGCAGCTGTGCTATTTGTGCAATTAAATTGCATTGATCTTATAATCATTTGTGATTAAGTCGCTGACCGTACATATATAGTGGACAAAAGTGAGTTCCCATTTAAAAAAAAAAGTCCTATCATTTCAACTAAAATCAATATTTAAATAAATGAAGAATGTGTCCCCATGGACACATATGATGCCCCCGCTTGCATACAACATTATAAAGGGACATAACTCAAAAACAATAAAAGAGACGCTACCCAAATTTGTACTTGATCTGAGTTTTGTGGTAATAATTATTGTGTATAGGTTTCATAATGTTTGGTTGACACAAGCTCAAGTTAAAGAATGGAAACTAAAAATTTTGCAATTTTTCCATATATAAAGGTGCATAACTCTAGAACGGTTAAAGTGACGCCAATAAAATTCAGACTTGATCTGTGTTTTGTGGTAATAAGCATTGTGTATGAGTTTCATAGCATTTGGCTGAGGCAACTTACGTTAGAGAACGGAAACTAAAAAGTTTGCATTTGTTTTCCATTTATATAGGGGCATAACTCGAGAATGGTTAAAATGACCCAACCAAAATTCAAACTTGATCTTTATTTTGTAGTAATAAGCATTGTGTATAAGTTTCATAACATATGGTTGAGGCAAACTTAAGTTAGAGAACGGAAACTAAAAATTTTGCAATTTTTCTATTTATAAAGGGACATAATTCGATAATGCTTAAAGTGACCCCACCAAAATTCAAACTTGATCTTAATTTTGTAGTAATAAGCGTTGTGTATAAGTTTCATAACATTTGGTTGAGGCAAACTTCAGTTAGAGAACGGAAACTAAAAATTTTGCAATTTTTCGATTTATAAAGAGGCATAACTCTAGAACGGTTAAAGTGATGTCACTAAAATTTAAACTTGATCTGTGTTTTGTAGTAATAAGCATTGTGTATAAGTTTCATAGCATTTGGTTGAGGCAAACTCAAGTTAGAGAACGGAAA